GTTGTGCCTCGGCGGAGCTCTCCCACGCGCCCGACGCTCTCCGCGAGCAGCCGACCTCCGCGCGCTGCTCCTCGCAAGTGGCCGTGGCCCACGTCCCGCGCCACGCCGCTGCCCACACAACCGTCGCAGGCTCGCGGAGGAGCATCGGCGCCGAGCGACGGGGGGGGGGGGGAGCGAGCAGGAGCAGGCCCCCTCGGCAGGCGGCGGGGCTCCTCGAGAGAGGCCCTCGGGCCCCCTCGAGGAGCTGCTCCTCTGCGCCTTCGGCGGGGGGGAGGGCCCCGAAGACTTCTCGGAAGGCCGGGGGGGGGGCCTCCGAGCCTGCAGCGAGGGCCTCCTCCGCCCCACCTCCCCCCCCCCCCCCCGGCGCGCCGCCGAGAGGCACCAGGCAGGCGGGCGGGCGGGCGGTCGGGGCGGGCTTCCGGGCGGGCGCACGGGCGCGCCCTGGGCGGGCGGGTCGGGGCGGGCGGAGGAACAACGATACAGTCGGGGCGTGGACCTAAGGAGCCCTAGATCAGGAGCGAGGCCCCTTTGATCCAAAAAGATTCTAAACTTCGGCTCCCCATCGAAAGCCTGAGGAAAACCTTGGGCAAGCTGTGCAACAAGCAAGGAACACCGAGCCCCCCCCCAACGAAAAGGGTTCCTTCCCAGCGCCCCGACTGTGAGGGGGGCCGTGAGGCTCGGGTTCCGGGGACTCGGCTTGGCTCGGGTCCCAGGCGGGCGCACGGGCGCACCCTGGGCGGGCGGGTCAGGGCGGGCTGAGGAACAACGACTGGGGGGGGGGACCTGCTGAGGTCGGGGAGGCGTGGCTCGGCTTCGGGGGCGGGGGTTGGCCTGACGGGGCCAGCGTGAAAATGCCGAGAGACCCAATCTGAAATTTGACGCGAGCTCCCGCTGCAGACGTCCCACGACGACTGGACCGACAGAATCCAGGACGCGCTCGTCAAAAGGCGTCGGCAAACCCGAATTCCGGCGTACTCGAGTCCTACGTTTCCCCGATAAGTAAGGGAGGGGGGGCATCGGCCTGGAGTCAGCGATGCGTCGCCGATGGATCGGCGATAGCTACGCTCCCAACAGCAAAGCCGCACGTGTCTGAGAGGGGTGCGCGATCGGGTCCCCATCGGCGATCCATGGGCAACTGGGGGTCGGATCGATGCACCCCCCCCTGAGCCTACCCTTCGGTGGCAACTTATGTGACTACCTACCAGGCCACCCCAACCCAACCCGAAGACCCGAACT